TCCTTTTGTTCTTCAGTCTAGTTGTGGAGGACGTTGCTTCACTGGCCCATGTTGGTATTATCATTGTGCTCTTCCCGGCTGAGGCAGATCGGTCGTCAGGCCCTGGATGGCCGCTCACAGTGGCTCTTGGCAGCTCACACCGGCTGCCAGCCACTCACAGCAGCTGTACAGCAGCCCACTGGAGCCTCATGGCCACCTATGCCATCACCAGCGACTCACAGCAGCCCAGCTCCAGGTTGAGCTGTTGTTCACCATCTTAGCTGTAGAGGGCGCATCACTGGCCCTCATGTGGGATCTGAACCGGGGCCCTGCTTCTCAGAGCTAGCGTCCCAAGCCAGCTCTTAACCAACATGCCACTCGGCCAGCCCTGGATTTTAGCTTTGACTCTGCTATTTATTATTTGTATGAGCTCAGTTTCCTATATATAATACAGGTATAATCATAGATTGTTAGTAGGATTATAAGATATATATATAGTATGTGGTACCTATTTGTTAATTGTCCTTATAATCATCAGCATCACTTTTTTGATGATTTGTATTTAGACTTTCCTACTGGACCATATTTTCTTGGGCCCTTGTAGAATCCTTGCTGGTTTTCTAATTCTCTAACTATATCCTTTGAAATAATGCCCCAGTTTTGCCCTGAGGAACACTATAGAAAACATTTATACAATACTTGACACTGTTTACTGTAGGGGCATCTTCCACAACATTCCCTTTATAGGAAGAATTACCGAAGAAATTTATTTTACGTATTAATGCTAAAAAAGCTTGTTATTTATAAGGCATATTAAATCCTTTTTGAAATAGGATAGGAAACAAATAAAAACACTGTTTAATGCTAAATATTTTTCTTACCGTTCATATCTTTCAGTTGAAATCTGCCTTTTCATAGCATCATGATCTGTTTGCAATTGTGCCACTTTAGCCCGAAGCATGGTGTTTTCCCGGCTCTGACTAGTTCTAAAAGCAAATTTTGAAAACAAATTTTGAAAATTAAAAAAATAAATAACAAGTGTTCTGTATTGTAAAGTCAAGTGGTATAGATTTTCGTTTCTGTTATTAAGAAATACAAAGGAGGTGATACTTAAGGATAAAAAAACAACAAAGATCAAGACTTTTCAACAATAATTTTCTAAACTTCTGGAGCTTCTATCCAAGGTTTTTCATTCATCTCATTAATTTAATAAACATTTACTCAGCCTCCAGCATGTGCTGGGCACTGCAGCAATGCTGGAGACACAAATTTGAACAAGACATGAAATGTAACATCAAGATGTAAAGTATCTTCACTGGCTCTATCTTTACTGCTGCGTCAGAAAGAGAGTATTTCTAACTTCTTTTAAAAGTTAATTATTCCACTTGTACTATCTACTCTGGGTTTCTTCCTCTCTTCCGACATATACACGCAAACCTCTCCATCCTAAAAAAACACCATCATCAATCTCCTAAAAGGCAATCAATACACTTATGAAGATCAAATTGCAAAACTTTTTCTTTTTCTTAATCC